AGCCATCTTGCCCCCTTCGGCAGGCGACGACTCCACGGCTTGAGCCTAGACGCGCCCGCCCCGCCGATCTCGGCGCGTCGGGCCAGCCGTGCTCCGCCCTGTCTACCTGCTGATGTCCTGCCCCGTGTTGTGCCGCCCATCTGGCGTGGCCTCCGCTGCGGGCAGACGTCGCCTCCGGACGCGCAGGGTCGCCATCCGGCATGCGCAAGTGCTGGCGATGGACGTGCGCAACCTGATGGGGTGTGTCACCCCCCCAGGTCTCGTCCTGTCGCCCGTGGACATCCTGCTGCCGGAGCTCGTGGCGCATGTGGAGGCGCTAGAGGCTGTGGGTGTACGGGTGCCGCCGCTGCCGCCTGCCAGCCTTGCGCCAGGTCTGGCTGGCTTGGGCGCCGAGGCGATGGCACCAGCTGCGCCGTGGTGGTCGCCGAGGCTGGTTGGCTTGCGCTCGCGATCCAGCCCCTTAGTTTTTTCTCTGGCGGCGCGGTCGCGAGTCGCTGCCGCTGCGGGCCCCCTGGTGACAACGTGCCCGGTGACACCATACCGCGCTGCTTGGCCGAGGCGCCGCGCAGGTGCTTCGCGACAGGCTGGGGCCCAGCGCTTAGCAGTGGCTAGCGCGAGGCTGATACGGCACGCCTGACCGCAGAGGAGCGCCAGGCTGCAGCCGCAGGTGTTGCTCGCACTCGTGCTCTCCCTCGTGCCGTCCCTGCCGTACGTGTTCCTGCTAGTGATGATGCAGATCATGCTCTACCTCGTGCCCGCCGTGCTGCACGTCCAGCCAGTACTGGTCCTCCCGAGGCGCTGCTGGCTGACCTGATCATTGGCGCGGAAATGCAGAGCGAACGCCACGGTAGTGCCGACGACCACGCCACCGTCGACTCCGACTCCTCCCTGAGCACCGCGGCCGCAGTGGAGCTCGGCATGACTGCTGAGCAGCGGCGGCCCCAGGATCCTCCTGAGGCTGCTCCGCCTACGTCTGCTCTCCTTCGGCCGATGGCGATGCAGAGGGTGCAGATGCGGACTCGCCCCCCGCCGGAGGACCTTCCGGCTGCCGTGGACCGCTACACCGTGATCGCCGATATTGGCGTGCTGCTCGTGACACAGGGCAAGCTGACGGCGGCGGCGATGTGGCTCCCCAGCCCAGACCGTGGGGCTGCCTTGCGCCGTTATTGGCAGCGCGTGGCGCTGGACCGTGATGCCGCTGCCGGAGCAGAGGCCGCTGGGCGGGATGGCCGCGCGGCGGAGGTGGGCAAGCCCCTCCCCACTAGCGTCCCCTGTTGGGGCCCGGGGGTGGCGGCGAGGCAGCCTACGGGCCCTACCCCGCTTCCAGCTGCGAGAGCGGAGATGGACAGGCCCCTCCCCCCCAGCGTCCCCTCTCGGGGCCAGGCGGAGGTGGCGCGGCTGCCTACGGGCCCTACCCCGCTACCAGCTGTGAGGTCGTCACCGGCCGAGGTGCGCGAGGAGGCGTGCGGAACTGGGGCCCAGCCGGCCTCATGGCGGATGGCAACACGGAACACCTCGCGAGCCGGAGGCCGACGCTGCCCTCGCACGGCCGTGTTTCCCTGCGCGCGTCCATGAGGGACTACGTCAATCCCGCGACCACTGCTGCGCTGCCGGGCTATATGTCCCGCGCGATCCGGGCCCCGGAGGCATGCTGGATGCGAATTATGGTTCATCACGGCGCGTTCTGCGAACTGTCCCAGAAACAGTCCGTGGAGATCCCCGTGGCGGCCGGCGATTCTGGTTTCACTGTACTGACGCCGAGCCACGCCGACTCTAAGCTGCAGCTGGTCGCTGGGACACCCCTTGGCCGCCTTGCAATGATGGCGATCGCTGACATGTTCTTCCCGCGCGGTCTGCCAGGCTCTCTGAGGCGCCTGCTGAGATAATCGGGCTGCTGTGTATCTCTATGTGCGCTGCGAGTGTGCGAAGATGCCTCAACTTGCACTGATTCCGCGTGAATATCGCGGCCATCTTTTATCGCCGAGCTTCATGACATGTAATTACACACTGCTGCTTATGTTTGTGAAGTGAGGGAGGATTGGTGGTGTGGATCAGGAGTGCCGGAGGATGTAAGCCTGCGTCCCAGCTTCACTCCTTCGTGCTCTGCCCTCACGATCATCCTCGTCTCGCCTGGTTCATACGCGCCTCGCCAGCCGCCAGCGAGTGTCAGATGGAGTAGCAGCGCGGGTGGTTGCTGCGAGAGAGCCACCCCTCAACCCTCCGTCTTAGCGCCTGGATGACCGCGTGCTGTCTGCCGCCTCGGTCCGCGTCGCGAGGGTGCGCAGATGTCTCCTCCTCTCGCTCAGGTACGTCGTCCGACGCGGCTGCACTTATCTTGGCACAGCTTCCGTGTGGTAATTCCCGTTGTGGCGCTCCACGCGGCCTATTTCTTGCGCTCGCGAGAATAGGGGGTGATCGGTCTGAGTACCAGTCTTCTCCCTATCTCTCGTCTGCATGTGCATGTGCCTGCTCCTCCCCCTCCTCAGGCATTCAGTTACGATGATATGCTTGTCAATGCGCGCCTGGCCCAGCTTGGCCAATAGTTGCACATGTGGAGGATTGGCTGGGAGGATGGTAGGAGGACGGTGGATGGAGGGTACTTGGACGTCGCCGAGCTTTTTGTCGTGCCAATTCTGCCCTCCCGCGCCCTCCCTCGGACTAGCGTGGCGATAATCGTGCGGTGTTCCGCCGCCGTCTCGACTTACGTTTCCGGGCGTCAGGGCGCGAAGATGTTTTTCCTTCCCCTCTCAGGAAAACGAACTGTTGTTGTACGTTCCTTGTGCGGCACCGCCTTATAGGAGCTCAGTCGGGTCGGAGTGGTCAGGCAGCCTACTCGCGACTCTCCCCTTCGGTCCGCCCCCCTACCGAACTGGAAGTTTTGGATATGCGTCCCAATTTTTCCCAACCATCCTGTGGTGTTGGGTCCTCGTTTTGAAGAGACGGTGCCCGCGTCCTCTTCTCCTCCTCTTCCCCCTCCTCCCTCCTCCCCCTCCTTGCCTCTGCTCTCGGCACACCTCTCACGCGTTTCGTAGCCCCATAGGGAGCTCCACCGAAGGCCCCAGTGGGGGTGTCCACATGCGGTTCCCCCACCCAGGGCAGCGTTTCGTGGCCCCATAGGGAGCTCCACCGAAGGCCCCAGTGGGGGTGTCCACATGCGGTTCCCCCACCCAGGGCAGCGTTTCGTGGCCCCATAGGGAGCTCCACCGAAGGCCCCAGTGGGGGTGTTCGCATGCGGTTCCCCCACCCAGGGCAGCGTTTCGTGGCCCCATAGGGAGCTCCACCGAAGGCCCCAGTGGGGGTGTTCGCATGCGGTTCCCCCACCCAGGGCAGCGTTTCGTAGCCCCATAGGGAGCTCCACCGAAGGCCCCAGTGGGGGTGTTCGCATGCGGTTCCCCCACCCAGGGCAGCGTTTCGTGGCCCCATAGGGAGCTCCACCGAAGGCCCCAGTGGGGGTGTCCACATGCGGTTCCCCCACCCAGGGCAGCGTTTCGTGGCCCCATAGGGAGCTCCACCGAAGGCCCCAGTGGGGGTGTCCACATGCGGTTCCCCCACCCAGGGCAGCGTTTCGTGGCCCCATAGGGAGCTCCACCGAAGGCCCCAGTGGGGGTGTCCACATGCGGGAGCTTCCCCCACCCAGGGCAGCGTTTCGTGGCCCCATAGGAGCTCGAAGGCCCCAGTGGGGGTGTCCACATGCGGTTCCCCCACCCAGGGCATAGGGACTCCACCGAAGGCCCCAGTTGTCCACATGGTAGGCCAGCGTTTCCCCCATATAGGGAGCTCCACCGGCCCAAGTGCGGTTCCCCAGTTTCGTAGCCCCTCCACCGAAGGCCCCAGACATGCGGTCCCCCACCCAGGGCAGCAGTTTTCGTGGCCCCATAGGGAGCTCCACCGAAGCACCAGTGGGGGTGTCCACATGCGGTTCCCCCACCCAGGGCAGCGTTTCGTAGCCCCAGAGGGAGCTCCACCGAAGGCCCCAGTGGGGGTGTTCCACATGCGGTTCCCCCGGCAGCGTTTCGTAGCCCCATAGGGAGCTCCACCGAAGGCCCCAGTGGGGGTGTCCGCATGCGGTTCCCCCACGGGCAGCGTTTCGTAGCCCCAGAGGGAGCTCCACCGAAGGCCCCAGTGGGGGTGTCCACATGCGGTTCCCCCACCCAGGGCAGCGTTTCGTAGCCCCAGAGGGAGCTCCACCGAAGGCCCCAGTGGGGGTGTCCACATGCGGTTCCCCCACCCAGGGCAGCGTTTCGTAGCCCCAGAGGGAGCTCCACCGAAGGCCCCAGTGGGGGTGTCCACATGCGGTTCCCCCACCCAGGGCAGCGTTTCGTAGCCCCATAGGGAGCTCCACCGTAGGCCCCAGTGGGGCTGCCCTCGTGCGGTTCCCCCACCCAGGGCAGCGTTCCGTAGCCCCAGAGGGAGCTCCACCGTAGGCCCCAGTGGGGGTGCCCGCATGCGGTTCCCCCACCAAGGGCAGCGTTTCGTGGCCCCACAGGGAGCTTCACCGAAGGCCCCAGTGGGGCTGCCTGCATGCGGTTCCCCCACCCAGGGCAGCGTTTCGTAGCCCCATAGGGAGCTCCACCGAAGGCCCCAGTGGGGGTGTTCGCATGCGTCCCCACTACCCAGAGGTAGCGCCGCCGAAAACGATATTCACACTTGCGGTATTCACAGTTGCATATGGTTGGGTCCTTCGCCAGGCTAATTTTCTCTCTTCTCGGATCTTATTATACCTCCCCTCGGTCTTGCCCCTTATCCATCATTCCGGTGCAGAATGAGAGCTACGCCGAACTGGCCATTAGTCGTGCCACCCCCCGTACAATTCCGTCCAATCTGGAGGTATGTGGGGACAGGACGGGGGCGGGGATATTCACCATACCTTGGCGCCCGTGCTGCTAGATACCGCGTGTTTCTGCCAGCAGTTAGTGAATGCCGCACTAAGCTGACCGGCGAATCAGAGCGCAATCCGAAATCCTCCGCTTTTCCCCTTCCTCCCTCCTCCGCGCCGTGCGACCTGCGCACGGGGCGGGTCGGACACGGCGTCCACGTCGACGACGAGCGCCTGTCGTGGAGGTCGTCGTCGTTGTCGTCGTCGTCGCCCCTCCCCCCCCTCCCCCTCCCCCTCCCGCCCCCCTCCTCGGAGCCTCGGGCGCAACGAGTCCCACGATGGGAAGTTCAACGCCGAAGCAGCACGGCAATGAGCCCGCCCCCCTCCCCGCCTCCCCCTCGCCCCTTCCCCTCCCGCCCTCCTCCTCCCACCCTCCCCCCCTCCCCCTCCCACCCTCCCCCCCCTCCCCCTCCCCCTCCCCCTCCCCCTCGCCGTCTTCGTCTTCGTCTTCGCCTTCGTCTTCGTCTTTTCGTCCGTCGCCGTCGCCGTCGCCGTCGCCGTCGCCGTCGCCGTCGCCGTCGCCGTCCGCCGTCGCGTCGCCGTCCGCCGTCGCCGTCGCCGTCGTCGCCGTCTTCGTCGTCGTCGTCGTCGTCGTCGTCGTCGTCGTCGTCCCCCCCCCTCGGAGCGACAGGCGCAACGAGCCACGCACGATGCGAGGCTCCGCGCCGAAGCGGCACGCCGAGGCAGCGAGGAGCGCAGCCCGCGAGGCGGGGGGCGGGGGCCGGTCCTGCTCAGGGCCTGGAGGGGGGTTCCTTCTGCCTGCCTTGAGCGGCTTGGGCGTCGGCCCCTCTCCCGCCCATCCCTCGCCCCCTGCCCACCGTCCTCCCTCGCCCCCCCCCCCCCCTCGCTCCTCCCTCGCCCTCCCTCGTCCCTCCCTCCCCCCCCCTCTCCTGCTCGCACCTTCCTTCCCTCAGTGTCGTCTTCGTCCTCCTCTCCTCCTGCTCCTCCTGCTCCTTCCTCCTGCTCCTGCTCCTGCTCCTGCTCCTCCTCCTCCTCCTCCTCCTCCTCCTCCTCCTCTTTCTCCTCCTCCTCCTCCTCCTCCTCGCCTCTTCCCTCGCACTCTCCCACCGCCCTCCTGCTCACACCTTCCCCACCTCGGTGTCGGCTTCGTCGTCGTCCTCCTCCTCCTCCTCCTGCGCCTCCTCCTCGGCGGAGGCGGTCTCGCCGGGTGTCGTCTTCGTCGCGCCCAAGTTTCGCCCACGACGATCGATGGTCGAAGACTGAGGTTGGCGCGACGCTGCGCGCAAGGACCACAGTCAACCTGATCGAGGACGAGGGGGAGGAGGAGCAGCAGCAGCAGCAACAGCAGCAGCAGCAGCACGGCGGAGAAGGGAGGAACGAAACTGGCTGACGTGGGAGCAGGAGGGGAGGGGATACGGATGATTTGGATGATGATTTGGATGATGCTGATGCTGCTGCTGATTATGATGATGTTGTTGCTGCTGCTGCTGATGATGGTGATGGGTGATGACGATGATGATGATGCTGCTGATGATTATGATGATGATGATGATAATAATGGTGCTAATGCTGCTGATGGTGATGGTGAAGATGATGCTGCTGATTGTGATGCTGATGGTGACGATGCTGCTGATGATGCTGATGCTGCTGGTGATGAGGATGCTGCTGCTGCTCATGCTGATGATGATGCTGGTGCTGATCATCATGATGAGGATGCTGATGCTGGTGACGATGATGATGTTGATGATGCTGATGCTGATGATGCTGGTGTTGGTGATGCTCATGCTGCTGATGATGATGCTGATGGTGATGCTGATGGTGTTGACGATTGGGCGGCTGGGAATAAGGACGATGATGGTCATAGCTTGTATAGTATTCAAGCTTCTAGCTCGTAGATGCCTCTGTCAAACAATCTCGTGCTCGCCAGCGAACTCATAGACATCTGAGAGAGGGGGCTGCCTTCAACGGGACGTAACCGCTCGGCGCACTCCCAGTTGGGGCGCTGGCACAGATGGCACCCGTTCGTGATGAGGATGAGGAGGAGTGTAACAATGCAGCGCGTGGAAAGTGGTGGGAATTGCCTTGAATGTGCGCGCGGGCCACTCACGTGGCAGTTTTTGGGAGGAGGAGGAGGACTGGTTGCTTGCGCATTCAAGAAATGCGAGCCCCTCCGACCGCAATCACGAGGGATAGGCATGGCTACCCTTCAGCTTCCTGCTGGCCAAATGCCCAGCGCAGGGAATAACAAGGAGGCGTCCAGGAGACGAGGGGAGAGGAGGAAGCCGAGAGCCGAGGAGCAGGAGTAGGATGCACACGAGGGGGAGGAGGACCTTGGCCACTAGTGAGGGGCCCGGGATGATGATTATGCTGATGATGATGCTGATGATGCTGATGCTGATGATGCTGATGATGAAGATGATGACGGTGATGGTGATGATGACGATGATGCTGATCATGATGATGGTGCTGATGATGCTGATTATGATTATGCTGAGTTTGATGGTGATGGTGATGATGCTGCTGATGCTGCTACTAATGACGATGAGGAGGAGGATGATGAGGAGGAAGAAGAGAAGGAGGCGGAGGAGGAAGAGGAGGAAGTGGAGAAGGATAATGAGGATTAGGAAGAGGCGCAGGAGGAGGAGCAGGCGCCCCCCTCGAAGGCGGGGCGCCTGGGCCACCTTCCCCGATGCGAGCTCGAGCGTGGCGATGGCGCCCTTCGCGGGGATGCCTCTCCGCTGGGGGGCGGAACACTGCCAGTGCGTGGAGGGGAGGGTGAGGACGCCAACACGTAGGACGGATACAGCCAACATAGGTCACAGGAACGATGATTGGCACGCAAAGCGCGCGGAGAACGCCGAACGATGTCAACGATCAATGGATGCGAGAGCCCTTTCGATTCTTGCTCTCATCCGTGATCTTGACCTGCTTCGACTATGTGTGTATGCGTGTTTGTGGTGTGTGTGTGTGTGTGTGAATGTGTGTGTGTGTGTGTGTGTGTGTGTGCGTGCGTCCGTCCGTCCGTGCGTGTGTGTGTGTGTGTGTGTGTGTTTGTGTGTGTGTGTGTGGGGGGGGGGCACGCCTTGTGCCGACCTAGCAACTCGTCAGACGTTCCCGAACCCCTGCTGGCCGTAGGTCCATTGCAGGCCAGGGTTTTTCTTCGATGTGCCGACTGTGTCCATCTACGTCGATCTTGGCCAGGCCCATCCTGGGCCCAGGATTCGTGGGTATGGTCTCTCAGCCTAGCCAGGAGTGATTGTACGCCGATCCTGGGTTTGGGTTAGCCCAGCCAGGGTCGGTGCAGGTGGATTTGGCAGGTTCGTGTTTTGAGGTCGGTCCTGGTTTCTGGCATGGCGTGAACCGCTGTCCTTGAATGGGCGCAGGGACACACACATGAATAGACACAAATCCCAGGACCCCCAATATTTTCAATCTATTCTGGACGTTCGTCTTCCCCTCCACTTCCCATACTCGTCATCTCTACCTGGGAATCGACGATTCTGTGTGTCTGTGTGTGTCTTTCCCCCTCTGACTCCTGAACGACCTCGGATGCCAGAGTCTCTCGGCCCAGAGCTTCCACTCCTGCTGGCCAAACTCGAGACAGTACCGAATTATTCAACACAGGTGAGGAATGCACGTCTGACCGAATTTCAGCAAAATACTTTCGGAGCGTTCAGAGCAAAAAATATTCGAATCGTCCGCGAGCCGAACAAATTCATTCCAGAACCGCTCTCCGTGGGCCCCCAGGAGCCTTCCGCTTCCTCGCTGGCGTCGCCGCCGCGCCCCGGCACCGCGCGACGCTGCCGAGGGTGCCAAGGGCCGCCCCCGCTCAAAATCGATCCCGCTCAAAGTCGATGCCCCAAAATTCTCTTCCTGGTGATCAGGGCTAAGATGAAGGGAGCCTGGGACACACACACACATAAATACACACAAATAGAAGGATTCCCCTCATTGTCCCATATTTTCTGGGTTTTTGCCTTCCCCCCCACTTCCCATATTTCCCCATATTTTCTAGGGAATCGTCGATTAATTGTGTCTGTGTGTTTTCTCCCTCCTGAGAAGAGTAGGTTGGAACATCATACACTCGACCAGGATAGTAAGGATGCGCGGTAAGGATGCAAGGGCCTTGGAACGCCATGCTGACGCTTACAGTGCGGAGCGCAGCAGAATGCCGAAGGATGCCGAATACCGAAGGGGCAAGGATGCAAGGGTATCCTTGGAAAGTTGCCCCATCCTTACTATCATGGTTGACTGTAACCCCAGACCCCTCCTGGACAACATCTCAGACCAGTCCTGGTCCCCGGAAATGGGCCTGGCCGAGCTCGGCTCTGGCGGGCAACGTCCGCACCTCGAGGAAGAACAACCCGGCCTGCCAGGGACCTACCGCCAACAGGAGCTCCGGACCGTCTGGCGAGGTTCCCACCTTGTCGAGCTGCGTCCAGCCGTGGCCACGAGGCCCTCCCCCCCGTAACCCAAAAGTCGGGTGTTGCTAGAGGTGCCCCTGGCCAAAGGTGCCCCCAGGATTTCGGGGTAGCCCAAACGGCCTCCAGAGCACCCCTCACGAGGCCCAGAGGGCCCCAGGGGCTCTAAAGTAGAGCGAGAAGCTGGTGGCACCTTGGCCCAGGGGTACTTCTAGCAGCACCCGGAAAAGGTGAAGCATAACTCCATGGTCGAGGCGCCGCCGCCGCTGTGGCTGCGCCCCCTCCGAGGACAGACCACCGGCTGACCGTGCCACGCTCAGCTCGGTGTCTCGGTTTCTCGCATGAGGCCGAAGCTGAGCAAGAGCGGCCTACAGCTGGAAACTGTTGCTAAGCGTGTCGCGGCGGCGGCCCCCGCGACACGCCATGCCCTGCGAGCGGATAGCGTGTCGCTCTGCATCTCGGGACGGGAGGCTGGGAAAAGCTAGGGACTTCGATGCCCGGGGAACGGAACGTGGTTAGAGTGTCGCGCCGAGGCGTGGTGGGCCAGAGCCGGCGTGGTGAAACGCTAAGCAAAATCTCCCGACCGCAAGCTGTTTGAAGAAGATGAAAAGAAATGGGATCCTGCCCTCCTGTCTTCCCAGCCGCCCCTCCTCCTGATGCTGCTACAGCTGCTTCTCCTGCAGCAGCCTCGGCGGCGATGCGCATTGGCGTCGGCGCTGGTGGAGGAAGAGGGGGATCAGGAAGAGGAGGAGGCTGTGGAGGAGGAGGAGAAGACGGCAAATGAAGATTGGGAAGCGGACTGGGAGGAGCAGGAGCAGGAGTTCTCAGGGAGGACGCCCGCCCACTGGCGAGGGGGTCATGCCCGCTGCCTGTTCTAACATGAGGAGCAAGATGCTGAGGATGTGGAAAAAGAAGAGGACTAATAGGAACCGGCAGAGGAGTAGGAGGTCCTTATCCTCCTCATCCTTCTCATCCTCGTCCTCTTCAGGAGGAAATGGAGGGAAAGAAAGAGCAGGAGGAGGAGAAGCCGGAGGGAGCCCGACTGGTAGTACAGTGCTCCGAAGGAAGTGTTCACCTACCTCCTTCCTGCTTAGTCAACAGCGGAACTACGGACTGACCTTGCGAAGCTGGGGGCCCTCCAGCTTGCTCCACTCCTCTCTCCTTCGCATTTTCCGCTCCTCCCCCTCCTCCTTCTCCTCCTCCTCCTCCTCCTCCTCCTCGCCTCCCTCCCCCATCCAACTTCTCCTGCTCGCCTTCCTCCACCACCTCCTCCTCCTCCAAATTGCTACACACCTCCCTTCATGATGTTTCACGACGCGAAGATGTCCGGGAACAGTGGCGACGGCGGCTGCGAAGAGGACAATAACGGCGACGGCAGCGGCGGCGGGACCTGCCGACGGTGGCGGTGCGGCGCCTTCTGCGCGCAAAATCGGGGGATACTCGTCGTCGCCGGTGAGGCTGTGCACCCCGTCCTCAGGGGCGGGAATGTGAGGGCACTGAGACCGGGTGAAAGGAAGGGAGCGAGCAGGAGGAGAGGTGAGGGAGCGAGGGAGGGGGGTGGGACAAGCAAGGTGCGCTCGCGTCATATCTGACGTCCTCCCCCTCCCTCCCATGCCTTGCCATAGCGTGCATATCCTCTCTATTCGCACAGTCGGATGTCGAGCAGGGCAATGATCGCAAGAGGGTACGCGATGCATGGTCGAGCACGGTATGGCATGGCGTAAATGAGCACGGCAGAGCGTAGCATGACATAGCATGGTGTGGCATTGCGCAGTGAAGCATTGCATCACAAATCATTGCAACGCAAAGCATGGCATCGCACACCGGCGCAAAACACAACACTGCACAACATGTCATGGCACGGCGCCGGGTTCCTTGGAGGGTAAGTGGATCGCCTTCTAGAGGTCTGGGACGGTCTGGAGTCGTGGCTCCATGTCTAGCTCCTTGGGCTCCCCGAAAAGCTCCACACAAAGCGGGGCTGATGGAGAGCACCCGCTGGCTGGCTCTGCTTTCAAAATCGCCTTCTCAAAGCAGAAACGGGCCTCCCGTTTGATACTTCCTGAAATCGACGACGCCCCAAAGTGGGGGGGGGGCTTCTGCGGCCCAAAAAAAGTCAACGAATCGACACCGAGTGTGTAATCACTTCCGATGGTTTTTCGGGGTGCCATGCTTTAAATGTTGGGGCCTATTTCGAAGGACCGAAAACGCTCGCTTGCAGCGAGAGCAACATTTTGAAAACAAGCCCAAGCGAAAACCCAACTCCCAGGAATCCTGTGTGTAAGAGAACAGTACGCGGAGGGGGGCCATACATCTTCTGGGCGTCATCAGGGGAGAGGGAAGAGTAGTATTCACATTGTGTGATTGTGGAGGGAGCAGGAGGGAGGCAGGGGAATGGAGAGAGCAGGAGGGAGGAGGATGAGGATGAGAAGGATCAGCTGCTGCTGCTGCTGCTGCGGAGGAGGAGCGAGGAGCGAGGAGCGAGGAGCGAGATGATGGGCGTGAGCCTGCTCCTCCTCCTCTTCCTCCTGCTCCTCCTCCTCCTCCTCCTCCTCCTCTTCCTCCTCCTCTTCCCCACTCCGCGGTCTTCTCATTCTCCTTCCTCTCCTTCTCTATCCCCTCCTCCTCCTCCTCCTCCTCCTGCTCCTCTTCCTGTTCCTCACCCTGCTCTTTCCTCTTTCATCCAGCCCTCTCCTCCTCAGTCCTCTTCCCCTCGCTCCTCCCGCCTGCCTCTGTCCACCCTCCCCGTCGTCCTCCTCCCTCGTCCTTCTCCTCCGCCTCCTCTGCCTTGCACACTCGCTGCCGTCCCTCCCGGCACGCGGAGGCGCGGTCGGATGCCGCGTGCGGCTCGGGAGGGCGCGACGAGCGCTTCACTGAAGGGGCCCTGGGACACGCAAATAAACAGACACAGGTGGCAGGATTCCCCATATCTTCCTATCTTTCCTGGGTTTGTGCCTTCCCCTCCCTTCACATGTTTCCCCATAATTTTCGGGGGAATCGACGATTCGTTGTGTCTGTGTATTGTTCCCCCTCCTGGTTCACACCTCGAGCGCTTCACCATCAGCGCCCGGGGCAGAGGCACCTTGTACGCTTGCATCGTCCAGCTCATAGCAGACATGCAGTCTCAGCTCGGCCGCTGGAGCCTGCGCAGCACAGCACGCTCGGGCAGCTAGCGCTGCCGGAAGGGGCGGAAGGGGGAGGGAGGGAGGGGTGCCCTGGCCAATGGGAGGCGAGGGAGGGGGTGGGGGAAGTACCCAGGGGGCAGTGACATTGGCCGACATGGCCCAAATTCAGTACCCCAACGATCCCCGCGGCTCTCACGGTCCACAGCCCAGCGGAGACACTCCTCCAAGGGCAAGCCGAGCAGACAGTTAGGCAGGGCAGGGTATCGAATGCCAGCGGGAAGGGAGTGGCCGATCTGACAGTGAGGTGCGGCAAGGCTTTCAATTGCAGTCGGAGGGGGCCAGTGGTCAACATATGGGGCACTGGCCAACGAAGACCCCCATATGTTGACGTGCAAACGTACCTCATTGTACATACGTTTTCACCCTTAGGGCCTGTAGGAAAGAGGGGGGGGGAAAATGGGGGACGGAGATGGCAGGATCCGGCAGTTCGACGACATCCCGTTCCACCATTGACAAGTGTGTGGATGTGTGTGTGTGTGTGCGTGTGTCTGTGTGTGTGTGTGGGTCTGCGTGTGCGTGTGCGTGTGCGTGTGCGTGTGCGTGTGCGTGTGCGTGTGCGTGTGTGTGTGTGTGTATGTGTATGTGTGTGTGTGTGTGTGCGTGTGTCTGTGTGTGTGTGTCTGTGTGTTTCTGTCTGTCTGTCTGTCTGTCTGTCTGTCTGTCTGTCTGTCTGTCTGTCTGTCTGTCTGTCTGTCTGTCTGTCTGTCTGTCTGTCTGTCTCTCTGTCTCTCTGTCTCTCTGTCTGTTTATCCGTCTGACTTTCTGTCTGTCTGTCTCGAGGCGTGGCTGGGGGGGCGGCCCGGCAACGTGGGAGGCCGAGAGTCTGTCTGTCTGTCTGTCTGTCTGTCTGTCTGTCTGTCTGTCTATCTGTCTGTCTGTCTGTCTGTCTGTCTGTCTGTCTGTCTGTCTGTCTGTCTGTCTGTCTGTCTGTCTGTCTGTCTATCTGTGTGTGTGCGCGGCGTGGTTCACCCCTCCTCACACTGCTGGCGCCAGCCTCCGCCACAGCCGGCGGTGGCTCGCGACAGCCAGGTTTCCATAAAGCAAGCGTCGGGGGTTGCGAGAGGTGCCCCTGGCACAAGGTGCCCCTAGCCTTTCACTCCGAGCCCCTGGGGCGCACTGGAAATCCTGGGGCACACTGGAGGCCTGGAGGCCGTGGAGGCCGTGGGGGCCGCAATGGGACACCTCCAGCAGGACCCGACAACGAGTCCTGCGGGAAACGGGTCCTGGACCAGCTGTCTATCCCGACGTTTTGACCAGCTGTCCGTCCCGACGTTTCCTGGCAGCCCTGGGGCCCGCGGCGGGCCCTGGTGGACCGAGAACGGCTTGCACGCCAGCCGGAGGAAGTATGTACAGACACGAAGTAGGAAGGCGGGTGCAGCAGGTCGGGTCCAGGCCCTCCCAGCGAATCACAAAACACAGCGAAGGCAGATCGGTTCTTGAAGCAGGAATGCGCATGAAACGGATCGGGATCTGGGGATCCAGAAATACATACATTCAACGACCGGCGTGTAAAGCCTCGGGGCCCGTCTCTCAGGACCCGCTTGCTTCATGGCGACCAGGGCACACCGCCCCCTGGACCTGCTGGTCCACACCGACCTTGCTGGCGTGTCTGCGACAGGGGGGCCGCCGCGCGAGATGCTCAGCCCAATGCTGCCAGGACCCGCCTGCTCCACGCGGACCAGCACACACTGCCCCCTGGACCTTGCGGTCCACACCGACCCTCAGATCTGGCGCTGCAACAACAAAGGGAGCATCCAGACAAGTCAAGACCCGAGCCCTAAGCCCTGGACCCCATCTTTCTGCCTCATCTTGCGGGCTGGATCGACCTGTGAGGGTCCGAGGGCCCGAGGCCAGGCGAAGACGCCTGGTGTGGAAAACTGCAACACCCGGATCCCACACCCCCGACGTCATCCCTGAACGGTTTGTCTGACCCCAGACATGCGACGTCCTGATATTTTCAGGACGGCGTCCCCGGAAGTCCCAACCCTTTCCCCGGGACCGGCTTTTCGTCCTGAGTCGTTTTTCGACGGCCCAGAGGCCCCCCCGAGGCCGAAAATAGCCCAAAGCCTCCCGTCCTGAATTTTTTTACGCCGCGACCATGCCTGGGACGGTCCCCTCCTCCTCCTCCTCCTCCTCCTCCTCCTCCTCCTCCTCCTCCTCCTCCTCCTCCTCCCTCCTCCCTCCTCCTCCTCCTCCTCCCTCCTCCCCCCCCCCTCCTCTCCTCCTCCTCCTCCTCCTCCTCCTCCTCCCTCCTCCTCCTCCTCCTCCTCCTCCTCCTCCTCCTCCTCCTCCTCCCCCCCCTCCTCTTCCTCTTCCTTCTTGTCCTCCTCCTCCTCCTCCTCCTCCTCCTCCTCCTGTGGACGGCCCCCAACAGTGAATCCGCATGTTCCTAAGCTGGGTGGGCCATCAGGCCCTGATTGGCGATCAGTAGGCGATTGGGGGTCGATGTATCCCCCCCTGTCGTTGCCCCTGACAGCCGCGGCCTCCGGGGATGCCCTGAAAAAGACGGTGAGGGCAGTGAGTGGATAAGGAATCATTGGGTCAGGACGCTGGTCGTGGATTTGGCCATGGATACCCCCGCCGCCCTCATCAAGTAAGGGATCCGCCAGGGTCTACAGCCTCCTGGGCAGATTCCGACGCCCCGGCCGTAGCGGGAGACTTCCAGCGCGGTGACGCCCCTCAGCCCCAGATCGCTCTTGGACGGTCCTGGGCCTCCAGCCGCGGCCCTCGGACATCCAGAAAGCAACAAAACCCGGCGGCGCGATGAGGCCCTTCAGTGCCGGATCGCTTATGGACGGTCTCGGGGCCCGAGCGCGGCCGCGGCCGCCTGCCGTCAAACAAAGCAGCCGAAAACTTCCAGCGCGATGATGCCCCTCAATCCCAAATCGCCTGTTTGACTGTCCCGCGGGGCGCTGAGACGGCCGCTGGACGCACAACATAGCGGAGCACCTCTGCCGCGTTCGTTGTTCTGGGGGCCAGAGGTATGGGTCCTCCTCGTCGGGATGCAGAGGACGGGCGATCAACGCTTAACCTGACCGACCCTGCTTTCTAGATAAGAGCGAGGCTCGCGGGAGGCACGGGTAAACTCGTCGAGCCTCTGGAGAACAATGCCTCTACCCGATGCTCCGCTCCCTCCTGCCGCCGACGCTGGGCTGGGGCTGAGCAGCCGCAGGGGGGTACGGGCAAGACGCCGACTGCCGATCGGCGACTCCAAAGGGTGTGGTCTGCAAACGTGTTTGACACCCGCACCCTGGGTGGTGCGCGAGGACCTCGACAGAGCTCCCCGCCGCGCCCCGAGGCGGGCCGACGAGGGCAACGTGGTGCTCCCCCCAAGTGGGATCCGCGCGTATACACACCGAGGTATCTGGGCCCTGTCCCACGAGGCTTCGCAACGCCACAGGACAACGTATAGTGCATGATTTTCCGTCCGGTTCTCTGGGCGACAGGTGTCGAAACAGATCACATGCTTTACATATGTGTATCTGTGTATCTGTGTATCTGTGCATATGTGTATGTATGTATATCTATATATATATATATATATATATATATATATGTATGTGTGTGTGCGTGTGTGCATGCATACACTGCGCTTGGGCCGCCATTTGCCATTGAGTGGCGGACACACATAACATCGCACAGTGGGCATTTCCCTGGCACCAACCAAACCCCAACCGAAGCAGATCGCACACCACACCCCGGCGCAGCACAACACCCTCTGGGTGTTGCTACAGGCGTCCTTGGCCCAAGGTGCCCCCAGCTTTTCGCTCCATTTTGGAGCCCCTTTGGGCCCTGTGGGCGTCGTGAGGGGTGCTCTGGAAGCCTTCGGGGCCTCCTCGGGAATCCTGGGGGCACCTTGGGCCACGGGCGCTTCTAGCAACACCCGAACCGAACTGGGGATATGTCGACCCCTATCCCAGGCTTCGTGGGGTTTTCGAATGGACTTGGAATTTGGGGTCCAACCCTGGGGTGTACGATGGGGGGGCGGCCATCTTCGATAGGGGTGCGTCGGAATAGCCAGCTGGGGGTGTACAGGGTTCCCCTCCTTGTCTGAGCGCTTGCTTAATTTTCGCGTGGGAGAGAAAACGCCTGCGAGAGCCCTCTGCAGGCCGCCTACCGCCGCGGCAGGACCGGGCTCCATCAGCAGCTCGCCGCCGCTCTTCGCGAGGTCCACCGCGTCCAGGGCGGCATCGCGGAAGGCGCCTCGCGCGCGCGCGCTGGCGGGCGGGCGCCCGAGGCGCCGCCCGCCACAGCGGGACACCCCGCGGAGGCCCGCGAGGCGCCCCGCTCCGCGGGGCCCTCGGGGGTGCTCAGCGGGCTCTGAGGGCGCGGCTGTAGTTGCAGTTGTACTTGCTGTTGCTGCTGCTGTTGTTCTTATTGTTGTTGCTGCTGCTGTTGAACTCTCACTACCGATTGATAATAATAGTTGTTGATCCCCCCCCCTCTGGTGACCATTGTGTTTTTTCAATTGAAGTGCTTCCTCAGGGGATCGCAACCGTTTTTTATCACGGAAAATCACGGGGCTCAAACTGGTCCCCTGGCCCCTGGTTTACATCAACAGCGGCTCTGGCCTGATACTTTTTCCGCACATGTTATTCCCAAGTTGCGCTCTCGCGCGGGACTTCCGCGTGGGACTTCCTCGCAATGTATTCGGACGATGCGCCCTCGGCGCCCAGGAATCACGCTCGCGCTTGGGCTTTTCTCGCGATTCACTTGGCAATCGCGCCATCGCTTGAGACATCCTCGCGATTCATGCAGGACCCACGCTTCAGCTACCCGCCTGCTCGACCTGGTCGCCTGGGCCCGCCTTCCCGACCTGCCCGCTATGGGTCTGCCCACCCGATCTGCCCGTCTGGTTCTGCCACTTGCTTTCTGCTCCTTGCCCCCCTTCTGCTGATTTTTCTCGTGATCCATTCTCCTCCCTCCCCCTTCCACCCGTCCTCTCTTCCCTTGTTTTAAAAGGCTGCGCTAAATGCGCGTGGCACGTAAGGAAGATACACCCCCAAGGGGGCACGATCGATGACGACGAAGGCTAGTACCGAGGGTTTGGGATATACGTATTGTTTGGCACGTGAGCAAATAGGAGCGGTTGTTGTTGTTGGTGGTGTTGTTGGTGTGGTTGTTGTTGTTGCTGCTGCTGCTGTGGTTGTAGCCCCACCAGCTCTCTGTGCGTCGGTGGTTGACAGCGTTTCTTCTTCCACCCCTCTCTCTTCCCCTTCGAAGAGGGGTTTATCACTGCTCCCTATTAATATACACCCCCTCCCCCAGGCGACTGGGAGCCAACCCGAGTCAATGAGGGCACCCCACCACCATCCCCTGTAACAAACAATACAACACACACTCTGCCTCCAAATTCGGAGCATGCGCGACGAACCCGATGCGGCCTCCCCCCCACCATCCCTGTCAACAAACAATACGGAATACACTTGGCGGCGGCGGCGGCTGCGGCGGGGGCAGCGGTTGCGGCGGCTGCGGCGGTGGCGGCGGCGGTGGCGGCGGCGGCGGCGGGGGCGGCGGCGGCGGCGGCGGTGGGAGCGGCGGCGGCGGCGGCGGCGGCAGCGGTGGCGGCGGCAGCGGCTGCGGCGGCAGCGGCGTCGGCGATTCGGCAGCGGGGGCGACGGCGGCGGCGGCGGCGGCGGCGCGGCGGCGGCGGGCGGCGCGGCGGCGGCGGCGGGGCGGGCGGCGGCGGCGGCGGCGGCGCGGCGGCGGATTCGCCCCCAGTAGCTGCCCATCCAAAGACGACTGCTGAATATGCTGCGGCTGGGGCCAGGCTCGGGTGTTACGTAAGTGGTGGGAGGGCGGGTGGGAGTGAGCGAAACGGCTTGCGGGCGGGGGGGGTCTTGATCACTGCTCCCTATTGATATACACCCCCTCCCCCAGGCGACTGGGAGCCAACCCGAGTCAATGAGGGCACCCCACCACCATCCCCTGCAACAAACAATACAACACACACTCTGTCTCCAAATTCGGAGCATGCGCAGCGAACCCGATGCGGCCTCCCCCCACCATCCCTGTCAAAAACAATACAGAATACACTTGGCGGCGGCGGCGGCTGCGGCGGCTGCGGCGGGGGCAGCGGCTGCGGCGGCGGCGGTGGCGGCGGCGGCGGCGGCGGCGGCGGCGGCGGCGGCGGCGGCGGCGGCAGCGGTGGCGGCAGCGGCTGCGGCGACAGCGGCTGCGGCGGCGGCGATTCGGCAGCGGGGGCGGCGGCGGCGGCGGCGGCGGCGGGCGGCGCGGTGGCGGCGGCGGCGGCGGGCGGCGGCGGCGGCGGCGGCGCGGCGGCGGCGGCGGCGGCGGCGGGCGGCGGCGGCGGCGGCGGAGGCGGCGCGGCGGCGGCCGATTCGCCCCCAGTAGCTGCCCATCCAAAAGCGACTGCTGAATCTGTTGCGGTTCGGGCCAGGCTTGGGTGCTACGTATGTGTTGGGAGGGCGGGTGGGAGTGAGCGAGCCGGCTTGCGGGCTGGGACGGCGTCTTGACCCCTCCCCCTAATTACCCCCTCCCCTGGACATGGACGGTGGGTTCCGCGAAGGGTTGGGCAATCATTGGTTTTACCAAGGTTTGGCCCCATCTTGGCCTCTTGGGGGGGGAGCCAATTTATTAAGCTCCCTTCTTGTTTGATCGATCTCCTCCGCGATGGCCCCAAAAGCATTCCCGAGGCGCCCGGGGGTGCCCCAAGGGGGCCCCGACGGGTGTCTGGGAGGCCCCGAGGGGCCCCCAAGAGGCCCCCGGGATGCCCCCAAGAGGCTCCCCAGGGATCCCCAAGAGGCCCCAGGAGGCCCCCCAGAGGCACCCAAGACGCCCCAGGGGGCGTCGGCGAATGCACAAATCACTGATTGTACAACAGGTTTTGGCCCCATTTTGGCCTCCTGGGGGGGGGTGCGCTGCTGAAGATGACTCCAAGGGCGCCTGGGGGAGCCCAAGATGACCTCCAAGATGGCTCATGATATCCCAGGATGCCTCAAGATGGCTCCCACGATGCTCCAAGATGCCCCAAGAGGCCTCCAAGAGGCTCCCAACAGACCCCCAAGAGGCCCCGAGAAACTCTCCGAAGCACCCAAGACGCTCTAAGAGGCGTCCGGGACCGCCAAGAGGTTCCCAAGACGCTCCAAGAGGCCTCTACTGGGGGACCCTTCCTCTGTGTGCTGCCCACTTCGATGATCGAGGCAATTCCTCTGAGCATCGTTTCTGGATGTGCTGGCGGGGTTACTTTTAGTCAGCGGCCGCAATCGAGCGCGCCAGCGGCGAGTCCAGTCAGAGCGGGGCGCGCAAAGACGAATTAACCTAAAGCGGTGGGCCGGAGCTTCACGCAGCACCTCAGCGGCGGGCCGGCGAGTGGAAAAAGCTGGCTACCAGTGCTGCCAAGGTGCACGCATGCAGCGCGTCGGAAGCAGCAGGCGGCCAGGGGGACCGGCGACCAGGGACAGCTGCAGACGGGAATGAGTTGCAAGGGCGCAAGCCCCCGGACTACTGCGAAGGTACCAGGGTGGCCGCAGCCAAGTGAACCGACTGTCGGAGGTCGAATTGGGTGCCCAGAGTGGGCGTGAAACTGGTGGGGTTACTTTTAGTCTGCGGCCGCGGGCGAGCGCGCCGGCGGCGAGTCCAGTCAAAGCGGGGCACGCAGCGACGAATTCACCTAAAGCAGCGGTAGGCGGCCTCACCTAAAGCGGCCAAGCGGGGCCTCGCGCAGCAACTCAGCGGCGGACTGGCGAATGGAAGGGGCAGCTGAAACTGAGTCGTACTGCCAGCGTGCAGGTATGCATGGCGTCGGAAGCGCCAGGTAGCCCGGAAGAACGACGACCAGGGTCAGAAGCCGAGGGATTAATGCATGGGCGCGAACCCCGGACAACTGCGTGAGTACCAGGGTGGCCGCAGCCAGAAGGACCGACGGTCAAGGTCAAATTGATGCCGGAAAGGGCGAGAGCGTTGGCCGGCTGCGAGAACCCAGGGTGGCCGAAGCCGCACAGTCCCACGGCAGCAGAACGCACGAGTACGAGAAGCAGCAAAGCTGCCGCGCAGCCGAAATGGCGCGTGTCACCACAAACCAGTGCGTGAAGTGGCGCCAACATGGGCGCTCACCACGAGCCCTGAAGAGGGTCACGCTGGTGGGGTTGATTTTTGGTCGCGGCCACGAGACAAGGGTCAGGCGGCGAAAGCAAAGTCCGGGGCACGAGCGAGGCTAATTAGCTACAACAGGCACAGGCCGGCCGGCCCGCTCACAAAGCAGCCGCGAAGCTGAAGGGGAGCTGACGGCAGGGGTATCCTGAGAGCTCGAGCGCGTGCACAGACAAAATGTTATGGAATTCGGTGCCTGCCACAGTATGAGACGTGAACCAGGATAACCAAGTCCGTCAATCTGAATGGGGGCAAGTGGGAAGCCAGTGGAGTGAGTCGCCGGTGAGGCGCCAGGCTCCAAACGCCATGACGACGTGAGCTAGCCAGGGGGGCTGAGCTGTCGCAAACCGTGATGCTACGCAACTGGGAAAAGCTGATGGTGAGCCTGGGGTGCTGCAGCTGCTGCGGAAGGCTGAACCACTGCGTGGCGATACCAACACCCGTCAGACCACCCCACAGTGCAAGGGGGAACCAAGCGACTGTGAGCCACGCAGTGCGTGCCGGCACGGCGTCAGGCCTCTGAGTGAGGGGGGGAAGACCAGCTGGCGCGGTGAGCATCGCCAGCGGGGAAGAGTAAGGGGAGCTGCACTGGTGGTAGTGCTGCCTTCTGAAGGACGCCAAACTGAACCGGGGACAAGCATATCCCCAAGTGAGCAGACCTGGCTGTACCGCCCGAGGCACGTGGCGCCTGTGTGAGCAAGGCGTACCGATGCCATTCGGCGATGCGCCTGGGGGAAGCTGCGCTGTGGCAGACACGAGAGCCAACGGACGCCATGTCCTGACCCTGTCCGCCTCTTGGCACTTCCACCCAAGACTCAGGAAACGCCAACACACACCACGTCAGCCTCCAGGGTCGCAGCTAACCGCCGCTGAAAGTGATGAGCCGTACCACGGACAGCGAGGGACTCGGGCGGCCCTGGGAGGCGGGGGCAACAACACCGGCGTCTGTCGGTACGCCTGGCGGGCCGCGGGGCCAAGGGCGGGGGACACCCGCCTGGCCCGAGAGGGGAGAGGCGAGGGGGAGCAACGCCCCTCCCCTCGGCCTGGCCCCGAACCCGCGGGTCAGGGGACATGGCCATTCTATTGGCTGC